TTCAATTAATAATTCAACGTGAAAAATATTTTCGTGAAATATTTATAAAATTACTTGAATTACAAACATATATATGCACAATATTATTTTCAATGGACCTTAATTATTGTACACAAAATACTGGTCTACGATGTAAATGGCAATGGGAATGTGGAGCATTAGGTATAGCTAGTGTATGGACATTATTATTATTTGTATTTATGAATTCATTAAAAATTGGTAAATATGGTCTTTTATTTGTTAGTGTATTTTTAACATTTTTAAAATTTTGTCTTATATATGTATTTATATGGATTGGATACATAATTGCATTTTATATGTTATTTATACATAAGAAACCTCAATTCACCTATATATTGTATTCAATACCAAAAACATTAGCTATGCTTACAGGAGAATATGATTTTGATGATTTATTTTTTCCAGATGGAAAAGTTTTAGAAGGTAGTGAAGCAGCAATGATACTTTATTCAATATTTGTATTTACAATGAATATAGTTATTATGAATATTATGGTAATTTTTTGGGAATTGTTTGTTTTCTTTTATACTAAGGAAATATGAGAAATGTAGATTAATATACGTATATTAATGATTAGGCAATTCAATGTCTTTAACTATTGACGTACGCTAGCAGTTGCCCAATTGATCAATTGCTTTTCAGTTGAAACTATATGCATATTATAGATCCTGATGAGTTATGAAGATTTAGAAAAGAGTTCTGACTCGTAACTTGTTGCTGCAGAGATACTGCATTTTAACGGTTTTTTTCCAGTCAATACCGTGGTCGCATGGAAAAGTGATTTTCTATAGAGACAAGTCTTAACAAGAATACTTTTTTTTCCTATTCCTAAGACACACCTATGATAAAGGTGGGCTTTTTACGCTGACAAATTCTATGGTCTAATTTCAAGATAGAAGCAAATCTGAAGCCTTGAAATATTTGCAATTAACTATTTCTCGTTAAAGCCTGTCTCTTATCGTAAGTCGAGCTTGGAACAATATCATCAAAATGAAGTGTTTCCACATCAACGACCTACGGATCCGAAATCCCTTTAGAGTATTCATTGCTAATTAGAGTCGCAATGAAGCGCGTAGTTCCGACTGAAAACTGATTCTTCTTTAATAGGAAAGGGACGTGAATAGTTCACTAACTCTTATTACTTTATAGAAATTACAGAAAATATTCTTCGTCCTCGATTATATAGTTTTAGTTTTTAGGAAAATTTCTACAATTGCAGCTCTGTCGATTTAAAAAAAACAAAGAGTTTCAAAAATAACCCTTTTTTTATTGTTGTAAGTTGGTTTCGTCCATTTTTATTCTACCAAGTTGATAATTATTTAGAATTTTTGAAATTACCTGTTCAAATTTAATCACTTTCAGTAATTCTAGGCGAATTTCTTAAAATACATATAGCATTTCATGGCATCATATGAGTTTTTACTGCATACAGAGCATAACAATTAAATACGTAGAAATGTTGGTACTACTAATGAGCAAACGTCCCTAACTGATCCGCGCCATTTTCAATAGTATTTTGTTCATATGTTCGAGAGATTATTCTAAGAAAAATCCCAAGAAAGTTTGAGCTGATGGGGCTTTCTCCGACCATTTTACTGATTTTTCCATCTAGCGCAAAGTATATACAGACAATCAAACAACAGATTTTCAATCTAAAATTTTGATCGTAATCATTTAAGAGAGCCTCCATGAGAACATCGAGCATGACCTCAGTATTTGAAGCACTTGTCAAAATTTAAATTTTTGATTTTTTGTGTACATTCGAAAGGACAATGTCTAAAACTACTAAATCTAAATTTTTAGCTCATTTGGATTTTTTATAGTAAAGTTAGCCTTGATCGACTTCTAGCACTGTCTATCTAATATGAGCAAAAAAAGTGATGAATTATCTCATCAATGTCTACTAAGATTATACTACCAGAAGTGAGCAAATTTTTTCATGCAATATAGCAAACGATAGAGCATGCCTAGATGAAAAAAATGAGCTATTTCGAATATTCTATATTATTCATTTATTGGACTAGCATGAACGAAAAAGGTAACAGTTTGCCAGTATATGAGGTTCGACTTTTGGAAGTATATCTGTTGCGATTTATCGAAATCATAAGATCCCAGACTGGATTTTTTATATGATATGTAACTTTTGATTCTTTAAAAAATGGTAAAAAAATTATGGAAAAAATAGTTCCCCATTGATACAAAAATTGGCATATACTGTCAGTAGCGTGTTAAACAGCCTCAAGAAAAATGACCTCAAGCATTTTACAACGACTTTCATTTGTGAAAATTTCCTCGTTGCACGAATTAGGATTGTATCCTGAATCAAATGGCATGGACAATTCTTTCGAAAAACGTTTTTTTCGTGAAATCGAAATACAATCAATCGGAAAGATAGTACTAAAAATGCTGATCACAGCCGTATGGTGGAAGTCCATTAATATCTGTTATTTAGTAGTATAGGGTAGACAACTCGGGGTTATTTTCTTCCAATAAAACCCTCATATGGTCTACCACAAAAATGGTCTTCATGCTACTAAATA